ACGAAATCTACACTTCGAGGTTCACAAAGTGCTGCGCTTGTCACGAATTCTGCACTTCGAGGTTCACCAAGTGCTGCGCCTGCTTCGAGATTTGCACTTCGAGGTTCACAATGTGCTGCGCCTGTCACAAAACCTGCAAACGAGCCACTTTCACTGCACCTTTCACGAACTAACAACGCCCCGACGATCACCACCATGTCCAAAGTGCTGCGCCTGCCACAAAGTCTACACTTCGAAGTGAAGCCGCTCCGATCTTTGCGCCTGTCACGAAAAGTCGACTTTGGACCACCAAAGCACGAAATTTCCCTTGCGCCTGCCACGAAAAGTGACCACCATGTGCGAACATGCGCGCGTCACCACAACGAGAGCGCAGTCGCTAGAAGCACCCGCCGCTGCCACCGAGATTCCGCGAGCCTGCGCAGGCGAAATGCACTTGGAGGAGTTCGAGAGGCATGAATGTACTGCAAATAGCAGCGAATTAGCCGGACACGGCCGCGCGGCACAGCGATCTAAGCACACCTGCTTTTCACTCACCGTAAGAACCCCTAGTGTGTCCACATTTTTTGGGGAAAAACTTCCACATTGGTTGACACACCAGACCGACCCAGCAAAAATTGATCATCGACGTGAAAAGATTTTGGGGAAACTGGTTTTTTCCACTAGACATGACAAGACCAGCTGGAAAAGGTAACGCCCCATCGAAGTGGAACCCGTTGCAAGCCCTCTTTCCTCCAACAAGCAGGCGGCGTTCCACTTCGAATCAGGGAGTGTGAACACTGTAAAATTCTATTTTCAGAAATGGCGACGAGGAGATGGCTCGGGAATCGATCACCAGCCTGACTGGCGATGTCCTGGACTGGCGATGGAGGGGACTGAGCCCCCAACCGGTGGTTTCCTACGCCGCTAAGCTTGATGTTGGTTGCTGCTGGATGTGGACATCCTTATGGCTGGATGCTCCTTTGACGTGGGCTGGGTTGGGCCCAGGTTGTGAGCCTGTGATGGGCAATGGCTTCTTGTACTGAGAGTCTCCACTTTTGATCGCTGTCCACTGCGAGCGTTTGCTTGTTTCATCTTGTTTCCATCAAAATTTCCTGCGGACTGAAAACTTTTGCGTTTTGCGTGCGGGAGTTGCCAATTGAATATGGGTTCGTGAAGTATTCGTGATCTGATTGCACACCGAGTCGGGCATCAGTATTCATGTGTTGTTTGTTTGTGAACGTGTTGGTCTTGGCTCACCGCCGTGTTGGCAAGTCAGTCGTTGTTTGGTTCTAATCCCGAGATTGATAGAAACTCAAAGCTGGAAGATGCTGGTGTTGAAGAAACCACATGTTCGTAGCCATTTTCGAGCCAAGCACATGTTTGGCCCTTTTGCATGAAAGATAGCTGCCGTCCACAAATGGTTCAGGCAGGGAGTGAAGCACTGGGTTAACTTGCATGTGGAGTTTTAACATGTCATGAAACCGAGATAAACCGAGTGTTTTTTGATTCGTTAGAATTTCTTTTGTCCTCAACCATTTGGCTTTGTTGATCTATACATGTTGACCTACATATCCGCACAAAGTTCCCAAGTGCCAGCGGCTTGGGGGTCCTGTTCCGGTGTGAGGTGGTGTGTTGTGTTTGCAGTGGTGGTACAAAACTGTAGTAGCCATGACTCATCGAACAGTAACATGTTGTGTGTGCGTGTGTGTGTGTGTGTGAGTGTTTTTCACGTTGAATCAAATCCCACATGCTTTTGGTGGCAGTGTTGGTCCATATGATTGACCCCTGCCAGGTTATGTCAGAGAGATGTCAGGATCCGATTCGGAGTCTTGCCGGGTGCCCATTGTTTTGCACAGGAGTTCCAGGAACATCCAAAAGATTTCAAAAGTAAGGTTTCGATTAGTTCAATTGAGACACTTTGGTAGTCAACTTATCAGTTTTTTTACTGGAGATTCATAATTTATCCCAGTACGAATCTTGTGATGGAAACATCACCAGTTGGCAGTGAAAATGGTGACAGGTGATGTGCAGTGAAATAGTGGAAATATATACTGAAGATCCATCTAACGTGAAATAGTGGAATATATACTGAAATAGTGGAAATAGTGAAATAGTGAAATGTAGGGACGCACCATCTAACGAAGATCTGTATCCTATATTGATCAGTGCAAAGCATTTTTCTTTCTCCAATGTTTTGTGATCCTTGACTCATTGAATCCACGAAACAACCCTTCCACCGATGACTGCCCGATGATGAGTCAATGAATCACTTGACTCAAGGACATGGTCAATTTGTATGTCTCATAACAATTTGAGCTCATCGTTTAGAACGGCTTTCTTGCTTGCCAGGGAACTACAAGGCCTATTGAACTCTACACACACAGTGCGCGTGCATGCTAAATTTGGAATTCCTCCAGAAGCTTTGCAGCCCTGCTCGTGCGAGGAGCCCCTCGTGGCGTGGCTCCTGGGTGCTGTACTGGTGGGGGAGCACAGAACCGGGCGTAGTCGGCGGGTTCGGTCAACAGCTTGGGACGTTCACGTCGAAGTTCCCGTTTTGGGTTCACGATGCACGCGCAGAAGGGGATACCTGACGTCACGCGCGAATACCCAAAGACAACGACCAGAGCTCAGAGCACTGGACCAGACACATCGGTCTTTGCTGATTTCAGGCTGAATGGGATTATGGAACTTTCGAAAGTGCCCCGCCGAAAACGTCTGTGTGAATCTCGGTGACGCCAACAACCACGATTCAGACAGCCCATTGGGCTTCTACGGATCTTCAACGCCTTGGGCTTCGGATCTTCAGCGGATCCATGACTTGAGACCCCGGTCACAAGTGCATCCACCCATATGGTGTACAAGTCTTTGGGGCGCTGCCGGGCTCCAGAGAAGCCGAAGTGAAGACTTTCCTGTTTCAGGCGAATTGAGCCTAGGCTCTAGGCCTCTCTGCCTTGCACTAAGCACTGAAGACCTAGGCCTCTCAGCCCACCGACCTCGTTAGCCGAGCTCAGGCTCGCTGGGGGTCGAACGACAGGTTTGGTGGGGTTCAGTTCGGTTCCTGGTTTGTTTTGAGACAGAGCGAAAGTCGTTCCACATGCAGGAGATTTGACACGGACATGGAAGCAGTGAAGAAGTAGCCAGAAGCCAGATGGGGCCGGAACGGGCCTCAGGTTTTGAGAGGTATCCTTATGATGGTGAGGATGTCCAGTGTCCAGCGCGGGGGGCTGCAGAAACCTTCGTGAGCCCTGGGGCCGTTGATGGGGGGCGTATCCAGAATCCCGTGCCACTGCAGTTCTTTTTTTCAACATACATGATAGCATGATGACCGTGGCGAGGGTCACGATTCTTCACTTCAACCCCAAACGACACCTCCGGTCCGCCCTTAAGCGGGCTTCGCGGACCGGAGCAGGCCGCGAGATGGAGGCGGACTCGGTCGGTCGCCAAGGCGACTCACATGGGCCACCGAGTGCACCGGCGGCGGCAGTGCACCGGGGCGGTCTGAGGGAGAAGGAGTTTCCAAAGGTACCAAGGAAAGCAACTGCAGAAGTGATCGACAGTGCAATCCCTTTTGGGTTTGATGGTTTGAACCACGAAACCCTACAGATCCCCATGGTTTGGTTGGAGGGGTTGAAGCTCACTGCAGTTTCCAGTTGTTTTTGAATGGGGGTCAAGCTAAATAATGATTCCAGGGGGTACGTCGATGGGCGGGATCATTTATGTAGAATCATTTCTCTGGAATCATTTTTTGACAGGGGGGTTCATGGGGGGTGTCAACCCCCCCCTGAGAATAATTTTCAAGTTGATGTGACTGATGTACCAGAATCATTTTCACATGTTGCATAAGATTTCTATTGGAGAGTCCATCAAATACAGAAAACAGTATTAAAACAGATTCTGCACCAATGCAAAAAGTGGGAACGCATATTGCTTCAATATTTCATTTTTTCAACGTGTGCGCTTGTACCAACTGATGGCTGAGCCTCCCAAACCTATTCAGTTTTGCCCCAATTCTGATGTCAACCCCCCCGGCTGGAATCATTCCCACACCAGTCAATTCCATATGAAAACACATAACTCACCACATTCTTAGACACCCAGCGGGAAAACATTGGACACCGACAACAATACATAATAATACCTATAATACCTATGGAAATAGAATGACATGGTGAGATCGTGGAACAAATTGCAATTCCCAGCTCCATTGCCCTTGCCCAGATTGGGTATGGGAGTTTCCTCTAAACATCTCACCTTCCAGAGTGCAGCCCCTCCAAGATTTTACCCTTACACCCCATTCTGATGTCAACCCCCCCTGGAATCATTTCCACACACCTGTCATTTCCACATATCTCATCACATTACCATTCCAGGCACCACTACCCATGAAAGATCCCATGTCCATTTCCCAGACTGGGCATTCTTGGACATTCTTGGGGCTCCTGTAAAAAACATTAAAAAACATCTAAAGATCTACCACCACTCCCCAAGAGAACACAAAAAAACACCCCAATTCAGACACCCAGTGGGAAAACATTGGACACCGACAATAATACATAATCATACCTAAACATAATAATACCAATAATACTTTGGGTACAGAGTTCAGATGTCAGGAAATGTCAGCAGATTTCAGGAAATGATTCTGACCGTGGATGACGGTCAGAATCAAATCACCAACCCCCCTCACACCCCTCCAGAATCATTTAAAATGATTCCTGGGGGTCTTGACGTGGGCCCCCTTGAACGGAACCCCCATGTTTTTGATACCCAAATCAGGTCGAACGAAAAGCAACCGCTGGTGATTTCTGTTCTTGGAGGGGCTTTGCATTGACAGGGTTTGTCTCAATAGATCAGGCGACCGACTTACCGACTCCCCGCAAGTTGGACGCAAGTTTCCATGGAAACCAATCCAAGTTGGTCTTCGCATGTCAAGCGAGTGCCTGAACGGCTCTGCAGGACCCACTCAGAGTCGGCGACGGAACCAGCAGCCTATAGGTTCCACTGCTGCGCCGTCTGTCCTTGGGAGGCGACAGTGGCTGCTCTTGGAATCTGGGAACACCTTGAAGGATGAAACGGGATAAAAGGAACCCCACGGGATTCGAGTGCTTCATTTTTGAGACAAACAGGATCATTTCTCCTCATTTAACACCTGTTTCAGGCGTCATTTAGAAAGGAGATTGGTCCGGGATACTTTTTTGGCAGGGTGTTCTTTGTTTTCTTCGAAGTAAAGTTGGAACCACCCATTTGAGTGTAATCCATTGCCTTCTTCGGCACTCATGGGTCTGGAATTATTCTTGGCCGCCACTTTTTTGAAGAGGCCTTCGAGTCAGGGAATTCGAGCAGCTACAAAGGGTGCATTCAATGTATATCCACAGACACGTACACATAATGTATATTGTTACGGTATATGTGTTAACGTTTCATTCTGTCAAATAGTTTGTGCATTGAGCACAAGACTGGACGACCAAACACATGCCGAAACCCGACTGGAAAGACATAGACCTCTCGGTTTCTCATGGTTTCTGAATTCAAGTCGCAGGCAGAAGCGCACCTTCTCCATTGCCAGATCGATCTCCGAAGGATCGACATGAAGGCCACCGGGACCGGGACAGATACCGGGACCGTACCGCCGAACTTTGTTTTTTTCAGGTTTGTCCGCTCATACTTCCGTTTTTTTTTTCATTTTTTCTTCCATCTTCCCCTTCTCCTTGGGGGCAGTGTAGAAAAAATCATAGAGCTGCCCTGAAACATGCCCTTACAACAGGTAAAACTAATATTCATTACAGGAGTTTGGTCTTCAAGGCAGCTGTGACATTTTGGATGTTGTTGTTTCGCTAGATTTGCAAGACCTTGTTCTTTTTGTTTTTGGCGCTAAGCACATGACATCCAGTTGCCGCCTCCAACTTTAGATCTCCGAATGAGGCATTAAACATAATGTTAACCTTTTGCCTTCAAATAGTACCAGAATGCATGTTAAGAAACCAAAAACCTCCACAGTCTATCCATCCAGGACTCGGACACATCTACCATCATATGCCTGGAGGAGACCAGTTTGGCGTCCACCCAGTCTTGACGCTCGGTCGCCAATGACCATTGGGGGCGCGGCGTGGTTGTTGCGGACTTAGGGCCTTTGGGTTTTCAGGTTTTATAGACTAATTCTGGTAAAGAAAAACATCAAAACCAGTGGGAACATGAGGTGGACGTGTCGCAGAACAGACTGGACCATCGCCGGAGAAAGGTGTGATGGTCCACGTTGAGCGTTGCGGCGTTGGGAGGGCCAATCCGCAGCGGGCGAACGGGGGAAGAAGCGGGATGGATCCCTCTGCGGGACGCTTTCTGGCTGCCGGAGCAGCAGGGGACAGTGGGGGGGGACTTACATAGGGTGTTTGTGGGGGACACTGGGGGCAGTGGTAGAGAACGAACTCTCTACATAACACCAGAAGAACCGGAGGCGCTTCTTGCTTGAGTTCATCCGCAAGTGGAACACGAAACCAGCACCTGCGGAAAGGGAGGTACTCTATGGTACTCTATGGTACTCTTCCTTTTGGGATGGATGTGATGGGATGTGGATGGGATGTGGATGGCTCAAATAATACAATCTCTGACTTCAAACTGTACACTTGGGATCAAGATGTCGCAATTTGGTTGTGTGTGTTCTGCTTTGGATGAGATCCTTTCCTTGATTGAACGTTGAAAGATAACCGTTGTAGACAAAACATGACAAAGACAGACACACCCACCCCGTTCCGCACATAAAGATCGAAAAAGGAGCTGGACCACACCTTGTTGCGATTGTTTGTTTGCCTTTTGTTGAATAGAATAGACACACATCCTCGCTCCGGGAAGCCGGAAAGAAGGCCTAAGCAGCGTGAACTATGATGAATGAGTGAGGGAAGTATTGGTAGACTGATAAGGATGGAAACATAGGGTTCAAAAATGGAGGAAAGATGATCATGACCCATGATTCTCCCAAAAAGCGACCTTCTCCTCATTCTTCTTGCGCCAGGATGCGGCGTTGGCCTTCTCTCTGGCCGAGTTCGCCCGGGCGAAGGCGTGCCGACATGGTGCCGAAACGGGAGTGTAGCAGCAGCTACACCCAGGAAGAGACCCTCATGGAACATGAAAATGGATGATTGAAATTTGAAAGACTATTTTCCTTTAGAAACCGGTGGTTTTTGAGGTTCCATGTCAATCTTCCAGGGTGCATACGCTATAGTGGCTGGACCATTTTCGTGTGAAAACCACCAACGACCTATGATCTACACCATTAAAGCATCACTCACCGACTTACTGCCTGTGGTTTGATCGGCGCAACTCCACTTATGTTCCTCGTGGATGCGGCCCGCGAGGTTCTTGAGCAAGGTAGATTCCACATAATGTTCGGGATATGAATAGGTTACCAGTGTCCCATGCTAGCATTTGGCAAGGCGCCAGGGGGTACTGTCTCAGCTCGCGCAGGAACAGGAGATCCAAATGGATTTTAGATGGCTCGGAACTCAGTGTGCGCAGAGGTTTTGATGGGCATAGCGGCATAGATTTGTTTGCTTGTTTCTCTCCACCTTCGCAATCTGTGACTAGATCACTAGGTCATGTGTCATGTGGCTTTGGGTGTCTTTGTGTTTTGTTCCCTCTCCATCCAACCCCCAAGCCTCTTGAGTATACGCCAACAGGTGTGACACAAGACAGAAGGTGTGACATAAGCCGACCTCCGAGACATCGGGCGTGACATCTGGTGCTGTAGGCGTGTCAACAGCTTTGACATCGAACTGAGACTCCAACCACAGCGCGGCAGCGGTTGTCAGCGTGGGCGGTCCAGCGCATGAGGCTCGAGATGGGGGATAGGTTCCCCGGGCTGCCATGACACGAAGAAATACCTTTAAAGACAGGTTCCAAGTCAAATCCTCAAGGATCCTGAGGCTTGAGAGAGGTGGTGCCGCCTTGCGTTATGCAGTATATCGTATGTTTTTTTGTTTAATTTTTTAACAAGTTTCCACTACAAAACAATGGCTGCGCGATGCAAGTCGTCCCAGTCATTAGTTCGCAGTGGAAACTAAAGTCTTTTTTTCAATAGATACAAGGTGTTCCTAGGTCATCAGCCATGAAGCTAGTGTAGGAATACACAAGCATGGAATTAGGCAAAGGAATTAGGGTCAACATAGATCAACATAGCAAACCTCAAGCTAGCAAAGAAGTTTTCACCTTTTGCTGTTGAACTCGGGTGTCAAACCGTTTTGGAGTCAACTCGGGTGTCAAACAGTCCGGCAGGATACGAACCTTTGTGGAGTCAAATCTTTGGTGACAAAATGCTTTGACCTTTGAACCACGGCACCGAACCTTTTTTTAAATCAATAATACAGGTTTAGACATGTCTCAACTCCAGCACCAAACCGTTTTGGAAGGCGGAATAAACCGCTTTCGATTTTGAAACTCCAGCTCCAGCAGCAAACTGGTTTGGAGTCAAGACCCTGGTGCGAAAGTATTTTGACATTGAACTCCAGCACCAAACCGCTTTGGAAGTCAAGCCATTTTGGAAGGCAATAAACTTGGGTGTCAAACCGTTTTGGACTTTGAGACTCCAGCAGCATGCTGGTTTGGAGTCAAGGCTCTGGTGCGAAACTGTATTGACACCTAACTCCAGCACCAAACCGTTTTGGAAGTCAAACCGTCTTGGAAGTCAAAGCTTGGGTGTCAACCCGCTTTGGACTTTGAAACTCCATCAGCAAACTGGTTTGGAGTCAAGACTCTGGTGCCAAAGCACCAAACCAGTTTTGAATCAACACTCCGGTGTCAAATCCTTTACCTTTAAGCTCAAGCATCAAACCCAACGACAGTCAACACTCTGCTGCCAAACTGGTGTCACTTTCAAACCCAGCACCAAACCGTTTTGGAAGTCAAATCGTTGGCGGGAGTGGAGTAGAGGCCTGCTGTGGCACATGTTTTGACTTCCATTGGGGTCTCTGAAAGAACCAAGCCAAACCAAAACCAGGAGATCGTATCAATGATACTGAGGACCAACTAGGCACATCAGATGGCTTAACCCACCACGTCATCCTCGCAGGATGGGGAAGGGAAGCTATGGCTGGATGTGTATGTGTATAGCCCATGATAGTCCAAAGTTCATGAAGGGAGTTGGGGAAATAGATCTGACAAATGAACCCCCTGGCCTCGCGGTGGGTTTTGCGGCGGGCCTCGTTGAGGTGTTCGACTTCAAGGCACCTGAAGAGTTGCCCCAGGAGAGCCGAACTGCCGCAGGGGGGAGCGGTCGTTTCTGGTCTTGGATGGTCATGGATTCGTGTCAAACCGGGAGGGGAGACCCCGTCATGTCGGTAGGGTCGTCTCGACGTGTCCGGGAAGTTGGGGGTGTAGAAATTCCTCAGAGGATGGAGTCCAAGGGATCGAGTCCAAATGGGCCAGCTTGAGTTGCGAAGTGATGAGGGGCAAACTTGCAACAGCAAGTGCAACGCGAAGTCAGAGGTGTTTGCCGCCCGTGGCGGTGCGGTGCGGCGCTCGCTCGTGCGGCGAACGGAGCTCTGCAAGGAGCTCTGCCTTCGGAGCTTCGTGGTGCCTTCGACTTCGTTTTAATCGATCCGCCCTTCATCACACGCGAGGTGGGATGGGTGCAAAACATGAGGATGTGTTTGATGGGAGAAGACCAGTCAGACTTTCTATTTTTGAGCTCCTCCCTTGATCCTAGATGGAGGAATACTGTCAAGTTCAGAGTCGAGTCGGGGTTTGTCTCAGGGTTCTTCCTAGAACACTTGAGCTTGGGTCTGTCCTACTACCTGTAACAGTCGGTAGACAATTGTAACTATTTTTGGACAAGGCCTTTACTAACCATCATCACCCACTGTTACAGGTAATGGGATAGACCCAAATTTGAGCTGTGTCGAGTTATTGTTGTTTGGAGACACATGCCCATGTGGTGAGACCTTTGTGCAAGAGTCTGGAAAAACCTCTCCCACAGGTGAAGAAGCCTCACAACCTCTGGAGGATGAGGATCTCTTTACCTTGACCCTTTCTGTAAGTGTCCAATTGGCTCTCCTGCCCACAACTGGCATAGGAGAACGCGGATTGACTCTGAAAATAGAGGCCTGGAAGACAGGTTCCCTCCACCAACCGGCATGCCATGGTTTATTTGGTTTGCATGCGTGTTTTTGTTCCATGACTTTGCCAAGGTTTGGAAAAAGCATGCAGTCACAGCACGTCGCTTCGACGTGAGTGAATCCCACCAAAATAGGGACAGTTGGTCGAAGCTGTGCCCGGTGGTGGGCGATTCTATTCACTTTGAGACCCAGACCCAGATAGGATAGACCCAGCTTGTACCACATGTGTTCACATCGGAATTGGTACCATCTTGTTTTGATCGTCGACCATCCTTTTGGGGTGGTGGCGGTGGCGCAAGAGTGTCCTACAAGACTTTCCCACAAGAGTGTCGTACTTTCCGCAAGAGTGTCCCACGAGAGTGTCACATAAGAGTGTCCCAGTTCTGCAAGAGTTCCCCATAAGAGTGTCCGACAAGAGCGTCCTACGACGCAAGAGTGACATACAAGAGTGTCCTACAAGACTGTTTCGCAAGAGTGTCCTACAAGAGTGTCGCACAAGAGTGTCCTACAACAGTGTCCCGCAAGAGTGAGTGTCATACAAGGCGTTCCACATAAGAGTGCGCAAGAGTGTCCCACAAAGGTTTCCGAAAAGAATGTGCCCTACAAGAGTGTCCCACAAAAGTGTCTCCTGCAAGTCCTACAAGAATGTCAAAAACTGTTTGGGTGTTTGTTTCCGAGTGCGTGTTTGCATTCGGGCTCGTGGGTTCCATCTTGTTTTTGGGCACTCAGCTTGCGTGTGCGGGGTTTTCTTCTACCTCTAGCTGTTTCACGTTTGGGTTCAAGGGCAAGGTAGCCAGGGGGGTTGGGGCGATGATGGTGCTCCGCCACTTCTTGGCGTCGCTCTTGCTCCTGAGCGATCCCTTGGTTCGCCTGTCCCAATCCTGGGGGGTTGGAGACTTGAGTTTCCCTTCGTTTTTTGCTGGAAATGATACCTGTCCAGCTGGGGAGACCTGCGAGAAAACTGAGGGAGAAGGGGGGGTCCGAGGCGTGCCACCGCGCCCGGACGAAAAACCCCAACCAAATGGATGGCCACTCTCGTTTGAGTGGCTGATCCGACTAAGTCTGAGGACAATCTCGGATGCCGCGTCCACGAGCTTGCACTATTGCGGCACCCTGTGCGCCTCAATAGGCCTCGCAGCCCGATGGACCTACTGGCTGGCTGTGGCCACAGTGGCCCTGTTCATGTTGCAGCTCCTCGTTTGGACTTGCAACTGGGTGCTAATCCCACTGTTCAGGCATTGGGTTGCCTTTTGGAGGTACCTGAGAGGGCAGGGTCAGTGGTATGAGCTTGCACAGATCCACCGGGTGAGGGTCTTTAGGCCAAAATGGTTTGGGCCACAAGGCCGAGAAGACTGGACAGCTGCTTACGTTCAGCAGGAAGTCCGCGGTCGGGGTGATGGAAGGGAGCCGTTTGACCTTTTGGTAACAGATGGCACTGCCATTGCCAGGCTCCGCCACGGAACACTGCGAGGACGTACCAATAGGTTCGGCTTCAAGGCCGAATGCGACTCGGTGCATGCTTCCTCGCACCGATACTACAGGAACCAAGTTGAAGGCATGGAATGCCGTGTTCATCTTTGCGCCCAGAGGCCATGTGGACAACCGGACGACGATTGCCTTCATGCAGTGGCTTCAGCCGTCATCCCGAAAAACACTGACTTCGACCTCCAAGACGCTGCTGGGAAAGGACCGTTAGCCCGTTGTGCTACGGCCGCCTGGCTGTGTGGGTACTCTACGGTGGGAGTCTGTGGAGGTATCGGGAAAGCCGTTCGAAAGGGGCTGGCTTGCATCTTCTGCTCGGGGTGCCTCTGCGGAAGCCGGAAAAAGGCCCGGACCCGGGCCCCACCCGGAAGCGGAGCGTCAACGCCACGCCATGAGAACTCTGAAACAGAATCTGAAGCGGAAGACGAGACTTCGTGCCAGGTGGAATCAGTGGCGTTTCTGGTGAACAGCAAGGCAACCCCTTTGTCCTTGGTCCCCTGCAAAGATGCAGCCCGGGGCAATAAAGTGAAGCTGTTACCTTCAGACGCAGAAGTGAGTAGCGCTGAAGACCTCAGGCACGAGGACGGGAATTTTTACTTCAGTAGCTGTAATCATCATCGGGCCTTGTACGAAGGGCAAGCGTCCAAGAGAACCTGTGTGTATGAAGGCTGCGACAGAGAAGTCAAAGCGTCCAAAGCCGGGTTACGATTGTGTAAGCTGCATTCTGCATGGGGCCAAAGACGAAAGAGTGAAACCCACCACTTGGTTAAGGGGGGCGGGCGCCAGTGGAGGCCCGGGGGCGGCTCAGCTGCCAAAACCTGTTGACCCCGAGGCGCGTTTCGCGCCCGGGGACGATGGTAAACTCGCCACCCCAGCCTCCGCCTCGCAACCAACCTTGCAAAGTACCTGAAGGAAATCCTCGAAGGGAGGGACGAGGCTTCAGCTCTCAAAGCATGCGCTCAGTCTGGGTACGGGCCACGGGAGACGTGGGAAGAGCTGAAAGAGCAGGCCACCCTCGATGTCACCAGGTTCCCCAATCACTACCCTCCGAAAGCCCGAAAGGTCGATAACAGATCTGATCTGGATGCCTGTTGAGAGGACGGTTTTGCCATTAGCCATGTGGACTGCAACAGTTGTATCAGCCATGCCGGATCGCGGAGCTGCTGGATTCTGCATCACGCCGAAACCGCGGAATCCAACAGCTGCGGTGTTCTGGCGGGGTACCTCCCTCCAGTTTGTTATTATATACATGAGAAAATGGGGCATTATAACCCGAACAAAGGACAGGTATGTCGAAGCGGCGGGATGGAAGTTGGGGCAAGGCATATTAGGTAATTCCAATCCGGACTAGCTGCCAGGATCAAAATCAAAGAAGAGGAAGGACTCAGTTTTGTCCCGTAGCATCGAACTTTCCTTTAGGGGAGCTGGAAGATAATCTTCCAGGTGATGAAGTTCCTCCACAGGTGTGTCATCGTGGAAGCATGCCCACGAGTCTACGCATGAGCTAGTTTTGCCTCAGAACGTGTTTTTCGTGAAACCCCTTTCTGAGGCATTTTTGGGCCCAAAGTGCTTCTGAGCCACGACTGTCCAACCACTCTCTCAGACACTGGTTTTGTGACACCGAACACACACACACAGAAGAGGTTCGAGATGAAAAATTCAAAACAAAAAATACTCAAAATAAAAACAACAACAAAAAACAAACCTAGACTCAGCCCAAAACCAGAACTCAAGACCACACACAAAAACACACTCAACTGGAGACTCAAGTAGCAGAAGGTTGAACGGAGGAAAAAACAAATCCGGACTCAGCAACAGAGAATTTGAGTCTGGATTTGAGTCAGTCTGGATTTGAATTTGGATTTGGGTCTGGATTTGAGTCTGGATTTGTTTTTTCTGAAGGGAAAACGCAGGTTCCAGCCCACCCTAGCCTAGCTAGCCCCCAGAAAGCAGCAGGTGACTCAACACCAAACTCAAACTGGATCTCAAGCACCTGAAACCAACACCAGACTAAACAAATAATCCGCATAGAAATATATAGAAATCAGAAAAAAGACTCGCATGGAATTTCACGATGGCAGAAGGTTGAAGAGAGGAACAAAGCAAAATCCGGACTCAGCAACAGAGAATTTGAGTCTGGATTTGAGTCAGTCTGTCTTTTTGAGTCTGGACTTGAGTCTGGGTTTGAGTCTGGATTTGAGTCTTGTTTTGTGCTTTTTTGAGTCCTGTCCTAAGTAGACCTGTTCTCCTGAGTGTGGATTTGTTTTTTCTGTTTGTTTATTGGTTGATTATGTTTGTTTTTTAATTTTTCAAGGATTTCGGCTCAGTCTGTTGAGTTCGGGCTCGCAAAACTGGTTGGAGCTGCAGGGATCATGAGCCTTGGCCAGCAAGCGGGTTGTATCCGGTCGGGGTTTGGCACGTGTTGGCTTGTTCTTGGGACACTCTAGACTCTTTTAAGGATGCCCACGAAGGACCATGAGACCAAAACACATGGCGAGACCCATTAGAAGACTTCACAGAACTTAATTGAAGATACACTCTTCAACGTGATTGCTTGGAGTGCGCCAATACAATTGAAATCGTAGTGTCTCTCAGCCGCGTGGTGTCCCCACTTGAACTCTTCAAGTGCTTTTCCACAGCGCTGCAATGTTTCTTGGAGGGCTGTGTAGGTGGGCTTGGGGTCAGCTTCGTCTCATTTTTCACTTTCAAGTCTGACTCTGACTTCTTTGGGGCTTCCCAGAAGAGCTCCTTGGCCTCACTCAAGAAACCTCTCTCACACCGCCCTCGCAGTCGCCCTCACGGCCGCTACAGGATCCACCAGTGCTTGCAGGCGTTTTGGGAGGTTTTTGGGGAGGAAAGCCAAACTTGAACCAAAAAACATGAGCTCAAAGACTTCACACATACGTTTGGATTTTGGACCAAGAGTCGTATGTTCAAAGTAGTGCATTTTGGGACGGACCGCGAACAAGAGCTTCCTCTCATTAAGTGACCACAGCGCCAAACCTCAGATTTTTTTCATAGTG